GATGACTTTACACTAAATACAATTTAAATCAGTGTAAAGAAACATTACAGCATTTGCCAGGAGAGAAGGAAGGGGCCAAGATGAAGAGATGCTGTTCATATTATGTAACGAAATTAAAGAAGTAAAAATAAAGATAAAACTTCTACTAATCAAGGGTTAAGAAAAATCGATAGCAAGAATAAAATACCCTCTCTAGGAAATCAAGAGGAACATTCATTTGGTTCTTTTGTTGGGTCAACGGTGATATCACTTCAGTATCCAGGCCATGATCACTATGTTCCATATCTGAAGTGTTCTGCTTATCCATATCAGAAAGACATTCTATAGTAACTGAATTCTCTTGAGAATCTTCCATTCCAGATCTTCTGAGACATTCACGTGCTGCTTCCTTACCTTCTTCAGTTAGCATGTACCTGAGAGGAAGCAACCCCCCCCCCGGGGGGTGCGGGGGGGTTGGGGGGGGAGGATCATACAAATATGAAGTATTTCAACTTAAGAACTTGCAGTACAGAACTCAGCAAAGAGTATCCTCTTCAGTAATACATTTAACAAACAAAAATATAGAAAACCTAAGGAGATATTTTATGCCCAAAGCTAATGAAAATGTACATAGTTTGAAAGAACAAATGCCCAAAGGAAACCATACTTTGCTGGACGGCAGGATTTTACAACTAAGCTCTTAGTGATCAGTGTCTTCATGCAGCTCCATCCACTATACCAATCCCTTGGAGAACTTCCGAACTGTCCTGGCTTTCCTCTTCCTTTTTCTGGACTGAACAATGAGGATCAGTTTGGTCAGAAATGTAGATTTTCAAATCCAAGCCAACAAAACAAAAATAGATGTATATGAACATACACAATTGGGGCTCGAGATAACCCACTAGCTTCAGCAGCATCAATAAGTTCCTGTTTACCCATAAACTCATTCCCATTTGAAGTCCCCCTATAATGAATATATGCTCAATTCAGAAATCCAAGAAAATTTAGAATGATAAGTTGTGCAACCTAACCTGAAATGCAAAAAACAGACAAGACATAAAACCTGGAAATGAACGCTGGACGGTTTGACTTCTATACATGAAATGCCATACTTCATAAAGCCTAACAAATATAACTTACGGACAACTATGCAGTTATATGCAGATGCACTTGTACCTGTAAAGAGCTATCAATAATGCATATGCCACAGAATTTTTTTGAGGCATATATCGCCTGCTTCCATTATTTTTCCTTCCTATAAATGAAAGGATGAATTAGGTAGAAGCACAACGATTTACAAACATAGATTGATGGACATATAACATGTGGCCAATCAAAAGAGACAAAAATTACACAGCATCAGACGTACCCTTTTTGGTCTGGTCTTCAGCTTCAGAATTTCCTGAACCGGTCCCAAAAAATCCCTGCATGAGCTTCAAAATCCATTTTCCCACGCCCCTTCATTATAATTCCAAAACAAAAAAATCGCGTTAGAGTAAACAATCAAATTTCATTGACATATAAGACCCTTGATCCTCATTGCTTTGCCAACCCATTAGAAAGATCTCAACAGACCAATATACAAGGACCCAACAACTATTTTTACTGTAAAGCTTCCGCTTTCAAAATCCAGGAATGTCGCTCGTTAGCAACATTGAAGGAAAAAAGGAGGAAATTTTAAAATCTAGATTGCTCTCAATTAAAATTTAAACAAATGCTGATTAAAAACACACATACTTGACCTCAGAAAGGTCCTTCATGGTTTGAATGGGAGTTTTTGAGTTACAAAGGTTGTAGTAAGCTTTAGACAGAGTCTTTTCAATGTTTTCTGAAATCCCTTTGGGTTTCTCTGCTAATTCTTTCCATTTACTGAACAAGTAAGCTGCAACCTCTTCGTTCTCCGAGCACCGAACCCGAGCCTCCTTCTCCATTTAGCGCCTACAAGTTCTTTCCGTTGAAATCAAGTTAAAACTGGAATCTTGCGCGGCAGATTAGTGGGGGATTTTAAGGTTTTGCCACTTCGCTAGTGATCATCACGAACTGATTTCAGAAGCAACCATATCGCGCGCCAGGGTCGTTTGAATTCAAGACTAGGAAAGCGAAAGCGATTTTTGAAATCGTGACTTGGAGATCCGGAGACTCGCTGAGTCAAACTCGGTCTGTTTCTTTCGCATTGCCCCATCCAGTAATGGACGGCGTGTGCCGGAGTTAAAAGGCCTCTCAACATGGGCCTATTGGTGCTTACAGTGATAAAAGCCCTGGCCCAAATTTCATTGACACTTCCAAAGGGACATACTCTCACAATTTTATTTATAAATTATTTTTAATATATTTTATAAAAATTAAAAATAAATTTAAAATTCATTAATTCTGTCAAAAAATTTTATTATGTTTTTAATTTTATTTTTATTAAATATATATACTTTATTTTTATCAGAAATTATACATATATATTAATAACATTCTCTCTCATAAACATTTAAAAGGAATTTTAACATTTTCTCTCATCAACATTTAAAAGAGAAAATTTGTAATATAAAATTAATGACATACTCCCTCATTTAATATTATAAATCACTTTATTTGAATTACTATCATTTTGAAAAATATGAGGTATTTTTTATTTTAGAATTTTTAAAAATAAATAAAGATGAACATGAAAAAATGTGTAATTTTAAATATTTTCAATTAACTTATAGGGAGTTTAAATTAGTTAAACATGTTTTACAATATTATACAAAAGGAGCATATAAATAGGATTAAAAAAATTCTCTTCCTGCCTTATATTCCATGTGGATCACAATATAGGGTATTTTTTAAAAGTCATACTTAATTCAAAATATAGAGTATTAAGTAGTTTTTAAAATTATTTTTATAATTACTCCCTTCATTAAAAAAATATAAGGTATTTTTAACTGAATCTATCCTTCAATAAAATAGCTAATTGTCTTCAAACTAACACCATATTTTTATATTTATCCCTTTTAATAGAGTACTTCACTTTAAAATAAATATAAAATAATTTATTTATTATGGATACTTTTAAAAAAAGCACATTAGTTATACTTTAAAACACAAAATGCATTGTATTTTTAATATCTAACCCTTCAAAAAATATCTTACATTTTTAAATAGAAGGTGTATATCCCTACTTTATTTATTACGTACTCTTTTTAAAAATTGAGATATTGAAATTTCAATTGTCATTGTTAAGGAACTTAACAAGATATTTAATGAGGGTGTAATTAGAAAAGTGCAAATTTTTTTTTAAAGAAATTAAAGTTTCAACTAACTATTTTACATCCATGAATTAATTATCAATATATTATATTATGATCTAAAAGGAATAAATAAAACTAATGTATGTACTCCCCCACCTCCATACCACAATTTATGACATATTTTAAAAACCTTACTTTTTTAAAATATGGAATATTGAATAATTTTTCATAATTATACCCTTAAATCATTTATTACTCTTTTGAAAAAAATTAATTTTAATTTCATTATCAAGAAACTCATATAAAATATTTAATGAAGATATAATTAAAAATATGTAAATTTTTTAAGAAATTTAGATTTCAACTAATATTTTTATAGAACTATATTAGTTACTAATATCTTTTACTCACTCTGTCACAAATTATAAAGCACTTTTAAATGAGTTTCTCTGTTCCAAAATATAAAACACTTTGAGTATATTAAGTTTCATTAAATGTTTTAATTCCAACATTACTCTTTCTCTCTCTGCAATTAATTTCATCACTTCTCTTTTCATTATATTAAATGATGAATATTTTGAGAAGTTTATATCATTATTTTGAAAAGATAAGGTTGTTAAGTGTATTTAATGAGGTCTATTGATATGTAAAATTTTATCTAAAATATTTATAATTTAGGACGGAATGAGTGCGAGAAGAACGATTAGAGTGAGTGATGACAAACTTATTTTGCATTAAATTCTTTTACATTTTCAAGTCATTTCATACATTATTTTCCCCTCATTCGTGCATTTATGTAGTGGACATAATTAATACTATAGGCGGCCAGAAAATAAAAACAATTCTGCATTTATTGTCTCTATTCATATATCCCTCCTCAAATTAACAAATTAAGTAGAGTCCAGCCACACGAATTTCTTATCAAACTCACACAATATATATACTTCTTACATTCTAATATATAAGGTATTTTTAACTAAATTTTACATATCAATAAAAATTTATTATTTAGTTAAAATCATATAAAATCACAATAAGTTTTCAATTTTGCTGCTATTAATGTCACAATTAATATTATTATGATGATAGGTAAAGCATATGATTAATATTTCCTTCATTTTTCAAGATAAGGGCAAAATTACTTAATTATTCAAAAATATTATTGATACACTTTATACTTAGAGACAAAATAAGTTTTTTAAAAACACTTTATCTATAAAGACAAGGGGAATGTGTGCGCGCAACTAAACACATATTTTTCAACAAAGATTAGTCTGATTGATAAGAATCTGACTCATAACTCACAAGGTGGTAGGTTCCAATCTCGCTATCGATGTGAAAATTTTGTTCATAAAGTAATTTATAAGTATCTTTATAAGCATTTTTTTTAAGTCTGGAGACATGATCGGGCTCTAGTGAATCCTATAACCCAACTTATTTAAAGTTTTATTGAAAATAAAATAATAAACACACTTTTTTTCTAGTTACAAATCACTTTTAATATATTTTATCATATTAAATACACACAAAATACTTTAAAAACTTGATTATTTAGAATAATTATTAGTTAATATGAACGTATTCATGAAAACCAAACTTGCAAAACAAAGTCCAATAAATTCTCTTTCTTATCCAAACTTCCGGTATAGCAATTACCGTGCCGTAAAGGATAAGAAACACGTTTAACAATCTTCCTCGTTCTGTCCATATTCCATTAAAAAGCTTCCAAAACTTAAATACACACAAAAACCACTCAAGCCCTCCTTCTTCCTTCTCCATTGATACCCACATTCAAAAACCCTACTAGCTAGCTTATACATATCAGCGCCCACTTAAGCAATCCACGACACAGATCACACGGAGAGATCTTAGGATTGAAGATAGATTAAACAGTATGAGAATCATCATGAAAGTTTTGTTGTGTTTTCTTGGAATGATCATCACAGTGATCGCAGGAGATGTAGCAGAAGGTGAAGATTGCCAATCTGATCTGATAGGGTTAGAGATAGAGTGTCTGTATTACATGCACAAGGGAGTGCCTCCATTGCAGGACCCTAATGATCGATGCTGCAAAGACGATTCAGGTGGCCAATATACCATGCGTCTGCACCAAACTCACCCAGAAAATCAGTACGTTTTCATGTTTTATTTCTTTCCTTTTCTTTCTCTCTTTCGTTTGGCGCCATGTTTCTTGAAGATGGTTGATGTTTCCTTTTCGTATTCTGGCTCTTTAACCTAAAAAGAAAACTACTGCTCGGCCAGTTTTTTATGTCATGATATTTATTTCTTTCTTTGTTGTTTATTTGATTCTGTGGAAGTGATATTATAAAACTCATTCCAATCTATGTAAAATATTATCCCAACTTCATCCCAGTTTATAAAGTAATTTTAGAAGTGATTGGACTATAAACAATTTAACAAAAATAAGATTTCATTGTATATGCTTCCTAATATTACTCTTTTCCTCCTTATTATAATCTCTCTCTTAAAGTTATTAAATGAAGAATATTTTTGAAAAATTATATTTTATTTTAAAAAAAAATTAAGGTTGTAAAGTTTAATTATTAAGCTTTATTGGTATGCATAATTTTGTCTAAAATTGTTTTATAAACTGGGATTGATGAAGGACTATAATATGTATACATATATGGTAGTGATTTTTATATATTGAAATTTGTTTTAGAATGAGCAAGAAAGCAAACAATTTTGGATTTTCTGAAGTGTAAGATTGTGCATTTTAGATAATGAGTTTAATTTTTTTGTGAATTATATATTGGCAGTAAAAGTTATTAAATACACTAATATATATAGTTTGATCCTTAAAATAAGAATATCTTATTTTAGTCCTTTCAAAACTATAATCTGCTTATGTTTCAATGAATATTGTAAATATGAAATTAAAATATGACCAGCAAAATGTTTGATTGTCATTAAACAAAAACGTCATTATCAAGATAGTAATATTTTGGCTATTTGGAGAGGAATGATGCTTTGTCATTACATCGTTTTAGGGAATATATGTGATATAATGTTAAGAATCACATAAACTTTATCTCTCGTCTCTAAATTTAAGGTCGCTGTATATATATCCTTGCAAGTTGCAACCACGTTGACGCCCATTGTTAATTAATTAATTAATTATATATATATATATATATATAATATGTATCGATCGTTTGCAAAATGAATTAATGAGTACACATTTAATCTTTCTGTTGAGCAATATACATGCAGAATAATGACACACACACACACACACAATATGTATATGTCTGTGTGTCGTTCCGTTGTTTAATTTACTGACAAATGACATATGCTCCTAGTTGATTTGTTTCCCTTTGAATACATGTGCGTACACTTAATGATTCTGTGCATTATATGAAATTTGAAGAATAAATGAGTTGAATTTTTTTAATAATTTGTGAATGATTATGTGCATTATTATATATTTGATATATATATATATTTGTATCAAAAAAGAATATATATATATATATATATATTTATAAAATTACTAATATAAAAGTCTTAATTACAAATCCTTTTATGGAACTTAATAATCCTTCATTACTTTTTTTTTGGATAAAAAATCCTTAATTACTTTTAGTCATTCACAGCTTAAATTATTCTCATATATACAGCTGTTTAATATTTGCAACTCATCTTGTACATCGGAATGTTTTGAAAGCTAATTTTCTTTAAATTAGTTTTTTAGGATTTAATTATCATCATCATTCCCTGTTTGAAAAATTGGACTAATAAGTTGAACTCATATTTCTTCCCCCCCCCCCCCGAAACTAGCTAAGATGATATTGATAAAGTTGTATAGTTCATAGCTCTTGTATGATTTGCCATACATCATTTATATTGTGTGTGTGTGTGTCATAAAATAAATTAATATGTATTTAATTTGGATTGGATTTTGTGGTATTATGAACAGTAATACCACCTGGATATACCATTGAAGATTTGCTTGACTGGCAGAAAGTGTTGCACTGTTTGAACTTCTGCGGCAAACCTTTACCTCCTGGCTTCAAGTGTGGACGTAAGACCTCTAGTTTTTTTTTATTTACTTTTTTAATTAATAAGAGTAATTTTTTTTATTTTATAACTTGTAATCAAAATATAAATGTTCCACCAGAAATAAAAACTTTTCACTAACAAAATTTTTTTTGAGCATTTGTTATTAATAAAGTTAAATGGTTTGTCAAAAAATAATGTTATATCCGTTTACTATATGAATGTGAACATTTTAATTAAAATAATATTCAATATGTATTTATATGCTATATAAATAATGAATTTTAATTTCATATTTATTTAGAAAGGATTTTATTTTTTTATGTTTTTCAGATTTCACCGTCCCCCCAGCTAGACCACCACACAAGTGAGGATTTGGAAGATGGCTATGATTTTGGAAGAGATGACATAACAAATTAATGTTTATAGTTGCAATTATATATATATATATATAGATATTGATTGTATGCTAGAAAGCAGCTTGTTGGTTAGACCATCATAAAATTGGATATAAACTTCATGAAAAAATTTGAAAATTCTGTCATTCTAGTATGATGTAATGTGAAGGCAAGTTGCTCAGTTAGTTGATAAATCTTTGATATTACTAGGACATTAACAGAATGGATTGGTGATTAACCATGATTTGATTATAATTAATTTCAGTAGTATAGGGTAATTCATAATAATTCTGATCATATTGCCATAAATGATAACAACTCGTTAATGATTGAACGATGATAATATTTGTTTGATTATCACATATCCTTACTTCAATTATACTCTTTCATGTCTTTAATATGTTAAAAGAATAAAAAAAAAAGACATGCAACATGAGAGCAATTAATTTTTCATTTGTTTTTCTCTATCTGTAATTAACCCACAGGGAAAAACTCAGTAATTAGATTGTTCTTGTTCGTGTGTTTTTCTCCACAAGGAGTTAATTAAGATTTGATTTCAAAATCATTCCAATTAAAATTATTTCAAAGGCTAAAATACACATGTAATCATTTAACTTTACATAACGTTTCATTTTAATCTCTTAATTTTATAAATTAATTTTTTAATCCTACAACCCTAATACTGTTAGTTTTATTCCAACAAAATTTTATATTGAACTTTTAAATATTAACAAAATATTTTTAAATATTGACATATTAAATTAAATTTTTAAAAAAATAATAGTGACTGACACAAAAATAATAATTTAAAAGTAACAATGTTAGAGTTAAAGAATTAAAAAGATATTTTATAAAATTAAAGAATTAAATTGAAACTTTATATAAAGTTAGAGAACTAAAAGTATATTTTAGTGTATTTAAATTATAAATTGATACGTTGCCTATATTAAATATGATATCTTGCAAAAATCTACTTAGTTTACTATTGGGAAATTTCCATAGAAAGCAAATTCAGATAAGAGGCTTGTGAACGTAATAATATCGATCTGTAGGTGGTGTCTTGTTTTTTAATGAAATAATTTTTTAATCGGCCATAAGGATATATTTTTGTTTTTAATTTTTAATCTATAACCTGCAATGCACTTGACAAAATCTGGTTTAAATGTAACGGTAATATAAAATAATAAGAATGCATGAAACTATCAAGAAAATTAATAAATTGAGATTATATGTATAGTAATATAGTAATATAACATTAAATGAATAATATCAGAAAATTATTATGAGAATTTTAATTATATATATATTATATTCATTACCCAGAACTATTTTTTACAGGCTCTAGGATACTCAATTTAATATCTGATATATCTGTCATAATAGAATATCACAAAGTTAAATATGCACATGCAAGTCCTTAAAACACACAAAACTTTCCACTTAAAATTTCTTTTCCAGAAAGAAAATAAGAAATATGGTAGTAAAATTCTAAAGTTCTAATTATATCTTTATTTTTATGAATTTTTTATTATTTTTATTAAAATATAAAATCTTCTATTTCTTCTTAAAAAAAAGACGAACTTAATAAAATTTGATCTCAAAAAATTCAATCCCAAAAAGACAGAATAATTTTTTGAATCTGGATATGTTTAAAGTTAGTAAAGTCGAATACAAATCACTAGGAAATATGGGGTCCGTTTTATTTCTACTTTAAGAAAATATTTTTCTATTTTTAAAAATAAAAAATATAAAATTATTGTAATAAGTATTTTGGATTTAATAAATGCAAAATGATTCTCATGTAAAAAAAAAACAATAAAATGGAAACAAGTTAGAGCTTTTAATTTTTCTCATGTAAAAAAAAAACAATAAAATGGAAACAAGTTAGAGCTTTTTATTTTTTGTTAGGGCAAAAAAAGAGCTTTTTTATTTTTTTTAATTTTTTAAGCACTTACATTGACTGTATATTGTAAATTATTTTTGTTACGATCAACTACTATTATAAGTCATCATCCATAATAACTAGTAATTAAATTTTTATTTTATTTTGTTTTGAAAAATAATTTTTTAAAATTAATTTACAAAATAGGTTTCGGAGATAAAAAATAGAACAAAACCAAAATTAAACAACATAGAATACAAGAAATCGGAGCTCAACTCTAGGAATTGTTTAACTTCATCAAATCAAGGCCAAAACGAAAACTCTTCAGAGGATTCAAATCCATAATTTTTCTCATCATAATTATTGCCAGGTATTCCATTAAAACCAAAATCGCAGAACTTTATGTCACAGATATACACAGAATCGATATAACATAAAAGCCACCATAATGAACCATCTGCATATAAATTCATCAGCCACCCATGGCCATGCCACAGATCAACGCGGAGAGAGATTTAAGATCAAAATTACATGAGAATGATGATGATGAAGTTGAAGGTGGAATCTGTGTGTGTGTTGTTGTGGGTGATAGGAATGATTATTATAGCAGGTTATGATGTAGCAGAAGGTGCAAATTGTGATCAAGATCTCGAGGGTTAGAGATTGAGTGTCTGTTTTACATGCACAAGGGTGTGCCTCCATTGCAGGACCCTAATGATCGATGTTGCAATGTCATTAAGAAGGCCAATGTACCCTGCGTTTGCTCCAGACTCTCACAACGCATTGGTAAGTATTATATTATATTATATCAAAATATTGAAAATCAGACTGATTATTAAACTGGGTTAAAATAATAGTTCAAAGATTAATTGTTTAAAACCACAGTGCAATTACAGTCTGTTATGAACAAATCAGGACTGGCATGGAGGGTACTCCCCCCACCCCCCAAAATAATTTTTTACCCCTGTGAAAATTCGAAATTTTTTTATTAAAATTTATTTTGGCCCCTATGGTTTATCTTATTTGAAATTAAGCTCTCCATATTTATTACGTTGGATCTGTCCTTGTGAATAAAATATTATATTGAATCAATCAAAATGCTAGTTCAATGATTTACTCCCTCAGCCTTTTTAGGAAATATTATTAAAATTAATTAATGTCATAATTTTTTATCACTTTCCAAATTTTATCGTTTCATTGGTATAGATAGTTTGTTTATTAAGGATAGGGGAATATAATGAAAGAACATTAAAATTAAGAGTAAAAACGACAGGGGTACTTTTTTTAAAATGGGCTATATAATGTTTTCATTAAATTTCAAAAAGGGTCTTATATTAAAGACCAATAAGTATAATCTTATAAATAGAGCAAGAGAGAGCAGTATAAGAGAACAGGACACAGTAATAAAATATAAGTAACTATAGTGTGTGTTGTTTTCTTAGTTTTGTTTCTGTTTAATTCGTTTGGTGGCATGTTTCTTGAAGATGGTTCCAGTGTCTTTTCTTATTCAAGCTTTTAACCATAACAAACATGTGTGCTGATTTTTTGTTGTCGTTTGTTTGTATGAAAGTGATTTTATTCTTACATTTCAACCTACATATAATATCTTACGTAGATTAATTAAGGGGAAAAAAAAGCCTAAGTAGGTGCTTGCTTTATAGAAAGCAAGTTTATTTTCATTAAAAAATTCCAGGGAATTCATGCATATTATATATATATATATATATATATATTATTATATAACACACAGTTAATAGTTAATGTTAGAAATGAAGAGGCCCGAAACGAGATAAAAAGGCAAGAGTATACATAGCAGAAGAACACATCTTAACTCAACCTAAGGTTCAAATTTATGGGTTGACATTTCTTCTTTATTTTATATTAGTTTTATAAGCTCAAATTTATCTTACATGAGACTTTTTATATTGGCTTAAGTCTTTTATATTTAGATAACCTAACACTTAAAAGTAATAACTTGGATGTTGTGGGCATTAATTGTGAACAGAGGTGCCACCAAACTCGACCATAGAAGATCTGCTTGATTGGAACAAAGTGTTGCACTGCTTCAAGTTTTGTGGCAAACCTCTTAAACCTGGCTTCAAATGCGGACGTAAGTCAATTAATCATATTTATTCAACTCTCTTTCTTTTTTTCAATTTTGGCCCTTATCATCATTAATTAAAATTCATATTTGCTGACGTATAAAAATTAAAATAGAATTAATTCTTTCGTTCGGTATAATTTTTTTTTTCATTATAAAGATCGAAATAGAAACTTTTCTAACCCCCTCCCACGTTGACCAAATTAAATCATCATTTGGTCCCTTAACTATTAATATTTTCAATTTTTTGCAGATTTCACGGTTCCACCAGGGCCACCACCCAAGTGAGGATTTGGAAGATGGCTATTTTGGGACCAAGATGCAAAATATTATCTTTTGCGTGTGTGTGTGTGTGTGTGTTTTAAGGGATATTCATGCTGGAATAAGAAGCTTCTTATTATCAAACCACCCCCAAATATGACACGTGTGTGTGTGTGTGTGTGAACTTTATGGAATAAATCATCAGCAATAATTTTTGCTATTTTGCATTTTGATTTGAAACCTATATATTTCTGTTTGTTCAGTAAGTTACAATTAGTTTTTTGTTTAATTTTGACGTCCCTCTATCGCTTTTTATATCAAATCATCAGGATATAAAATATTATTGGTAATAGCAAATAAATGTTGGTTCGGTAATTGAAAGGATTTGAACCTACAAATGATAAAAGCTCATGTAAGGTTCAAATCTTACTGTGAATGTGAAAATTTTTATTGATGAGCAATTTGCAAGTATTCATATAAGCATCCTTTGAGCCATAATGTATATATATACCACTTCATACTTTCATCATGTATATTACTTTCCACAGTCCAAACTTGAAAATTCACTTCACAAGTTTTTTTACTATCTCGTGGGATTTTTTTTCTGCCGTTGACAGAACCTAATGAAGAAGTATCAATATACACAACACGTCCTTTATTTTTTTATACTTGCATCATGAAAATTTATTTCATCAATTACCTGAATTAAAAATATATGTTATAAATAATCTTATATATTGAACAATTATCAGTTTTTATATTG